GGGGGGGGGGGGAGGGGGAGCCAGCGAGACTTTTATATCTAAATTGAATCCTTTAAATAAGAAAATGAACAACCCCCGATGACGTCATTACAGATCGAATAAAGGCGAGGAATACGACCCCCTCCCCGGTAACCGCAACCTCCCCCTCCCGCCCCCGGCAAACTTAATTATTGAACCTTCCCTTTCGCATGACTTATGGCCGAAATGTAGTAGATTGGAGAGTTGCAACTTCGTAACAGACCTCACCAGCAATTCCCCTTTTATCTACGTCCACCGAATATCCTTGGCCATTTTCCTGCTCCCCATAAATTAATCTTTGATCGAATTCAAGAATTGCTTCTAGCCATTGGGAAATTTCGAATTATCGATTTTATCCGTAATTACACTGATAATGATATTAGGGGGTTAAGTCATGTCTGTCATGTGTGTTTTGATATTAGGATTTAAAAAAATTTCTTTAATCTTAATTTTTAAAAATTGGCCATAACGTCCTAGGAATCAATACACGTAAGAAACCGATCGCTTTTGAACGTAACGCGTTCATGATGCTAAAAAACTAGACGAAAACAGCCATCCATTCCTCCTTAGAGAGCACGACAGATGAGACCGAAACCTTCTTTATAAAAGACACTTCCGTCTCGTTTCGTCCTTTCATTCCCATTATCAAAAAACCTATCCGAGAAAACTCGTCCATTATAGGGCCACCATCTAAAATCGACAACTCTTGTGGCGATGCTTCCTGCTTTCTCGCCACATACAGAGTGTATCGGCCCACATCCACGTTTGCGGTGAAACGATCTACGATTTCGAAAATCTGATGTGGCAACCAGTGAATTGCAGATATTTTTTCTCGTTTGATTTGCGTTTGAAATTTGGTAAAATTTTGACAGATTTTCAATACTGGCGGCAGGGGTCATTTCACGCAGCAGCCTCACGCCAAAAATGCGATCGGCAATCAGACGCAAACCCGTATACGGGTAAAATGTATTGCAGTGCCGTTTTTGCTTATACGTTTTTTTTTAGTTCCGGAAAAGTCCACCAGATGACACTGTCAAGCGCGTTCGAGAGTTCTTGAAAATACCGTTGACAGTTATGAAACGAGAATTCGATAAATTACCTCCTGAAATTGCATTTTCACGAGGAGCACCTTTGTTGACTCCGGAAAAATCCACCAGGCGGCACTGTTAAGCATCTCCGACAGTTCTGGGAAATTCAGCCAGGGGGCGCGAAACGACAATTTGATAAATTGTCTCCATGTGCTTGTCGTTTTTTAAAAGGCCACACTAACGTCTCGGCAACTCGAGCCCTGCTGGTGCGTTTTTACTGACTCACTCTTTTTTACATATACACATATATATAACCACAGAGTTATAAGATTTTCTAGAATTAAATGAGGCCCAGCACCCCTTCTTGAACGAAAAGACAGTTTACAACTCCTACAGTTCAGAGCCCGTCGGGGTCTGTGAATAGATTACACCAAGGAGCTGTCCGCTTTGCATGCTTCTTCATATACCAGTACATGAACTCACATCTTGACTTAATTTTTTTTACGGTTGGTATACATACATATTTCTCTTAAAAACGCGCATCCTAGTGGCACGTTGTTTCACAGTACAAACAGCAAGGTAGCAGGTTGGGGTGGCGGTGGCGAGAAGCTATTCTATATTAAACAGCATGGTAATACACCCACCGGGTGAAAAATAAGTAACAAAGATACGGCCCTGCCTTGTTATTATGCAATAACTTAACCCGGCGTAAAATGGAGAATGCGGTATAAACGTATTTTATGAGGCGCGCAATGTCTCTATCACATCGTCGACTGAATATGCATGCATGCATGCATGCATGTTATCATGAATATATATCGGGTGATCGTGCAATAATGTAATTGGATCGAGGTGGTACGGGGCCCGGTTTTCAAGCGCGACGGCACCGCCACTCGCTAACTCTCCTGTCAAACTGCTTAAGTAAATCTCGCACTACCGTACTACCGACTACCCTTCACGAACTTCGATAAATACACCCCCGCTCCAAGAAAGCCCGATCCACAAAATTTCTTCAATTTTCTTACCACTCATCAGAAACGTCCAAGTATCGCACTTGTCTGGTATTGCACTAGATCCGAATAAATTTTTTTTACAAATATCAATACCCTCTATCGAAACGTTTTACGGAAGCTCGTCACATTTTAAAAATCATTTCCAACGGCTACAGTCTTGTCTCTATACCCACGTCGCACTAGCACGCAAGTGTCTTTCAATCTGATCCTTCAGACCAGCCACCGTGTATACAACTGGGCGAAATATTTTGAGCAAGACTCGCGTGTCTTCCAAGTAAACATGGTTCTTCAAGAGGATTCCCAGAGGTATCAAGTAGTACCAACAACCTAAAGCTGTGTACCAACCTTCCGTCGCGTTATATTGAACTCCCTGCTGCAACCCTTGCACTGTGTGACCTGGCGGTCGTTTGCCCAGGGTGCCGTACCGTCCTGATTAGATTGTTGAGCGTTATCAGCAGCTTCTCTAAGCTCTACAGCTGCCCACTTGGCTGCGCTCAGTTGTCCACCCAGTTCCTCCAGGGTACGTTCCTGCTCGGTGCAGATCTCTTTGAGGGCGTAATACTCTTCCTGCAGTTGTTGATATTTCTGAAACGTTATAAATTACAGGATTAGATCCCCTATTCGTTTTATCGTGATCAAAGACACGTTCTCCCGTGTTCATTCAACGTCCCTCATTGAATTAAACTCTAAGGACTCTTCAACCTACTCGTCATGATGTTCCCCGTGGACATGCTATATACCTGTATGTATTACCTCAGTGACTTGCTTCAGCTGATCGATTTCCTGATGAAGCTGAGAGATCTTTTCCGTGTTTGCTATCGATGCTTCCTGAAGGGAGGTTCGCCATTCACGTTCGATTCGCAATTCCCGCTGAACCCCGTTGGCTCGTGCTTCCCTTTCAGCTGCCTCCATCCCCAGGGCTCGCGCCCTTTCCTCAACCTCGTTCCTCGCCCCATCCATCTCTTTGCACCTAACCAATAGAAATCAGTCGAGCTTGAGCACCCTGTACACCACGTCTCAGCTTAATGACTACCTAATCCAGGTTTCCTCAACGACCCTAACGTCATGGGGATACCAAACCGATAGTCCCAGGGTACATCATTTTCATTTGCTACTTTTTTTTTTTCAATACCCTGGACTTCGATACTACTTCTGCCTACCCGTCAGAATTATAACTACTAATCCTAAATGATTCTGTGCAATGAATTACGAGATACCAGAATATAGCTGTCAATCGGATATTGACTTTGGTACTTGCATGACTATGACGATACTATAGAGAAAATTACATTGACGAAGACTGCAGGACTTCCCGGGCGTCTTATTGTCGTTATCGTTAACCTATTTTTAGTAGCATCGACCATTTAGTATGGTTACGTTAAATTTATCATATTTAACATAGTATTACGTAAGCTTTAGGATACTCTGACTATTCCTGTCATGGTTATTCATGGCGAATATTTATTCTTGCGCTTGAGTGTACAGAGCTGACGTTTCTCTACGAGGTGATCCGATCGAAGCGCCGTTCAGATTTTACTATATTGCCTGTCGTAGATTCTCTATCGCGACTATTAAATAAGTATGTAACTTACCTTGCACAGTATTATTAGTAATGATGTATGAAATCGTACTGGGTCACGTGAAAACAAAAGAACTAAAGAAATTTCAGGCACGCTCATTATTTTTAATGATTTTCTTAAAATTTCTTTGTGATCCAATATAGGTCGTTTTGTGGGATCGTGCCTAAAATTACACTGCATTGTAACAGGGATGCTTTTTTACGTGACCACTGACTTCGGGTTAATCAAATACGAGAAATATTCTGTTAGTATTTTATTCTTATAGCCTTATACAAGCACACATGGTGTCACTGATAAATTATAAGGATCATTGCTTGATACCTGTTGCGTCATATATATCGAATAGGTATGGGCACTCGTCAGCAGATTATAACGTACGTGATCAAAGAAAATTTTAGTGTTAACGTTATCCTGTGATGATAATCAATTTTTTCTTTTTTTTCCGAGCAACGCGAAAATTTCGAATAATCATCGAGCCGTTTCTTGAAAGCGATGACGAATAATAGAAAATATTTCAAATCAATATATCAATGGTGAAACATCGATTCTAATTTGACAGTCTGCATGACCGTGTCGATGATGATATCTGGCGATTAAATATTCTATATGATTTATTTCTACGTCTAATGATCCGTTTTGCGACAGGTGGATCGATAATCGAATGAAATCGATATGATTAGATCAATCGCGCGTTACGCGTGTCCCGATAACTGTTCTGACTATACTAATGATAATTTTGATCCTACAGTCGAATAATATTCCGAATAAAAAATAAATTAGTTAATACAATCAGTAATTGACCGTAGCTAAGAAATATACTTGGTGTTGATGTCGCGAAGAATTATTTGCAATATCGCGTCTCGTGCCGCGAAATTCAAATGTCTCGGTGAAGGTTTGCCAATATCTCCACGGAAAATACGCGAGACGCTTCTCTTGTCTCGTTATCAGAGCTAAATCAGAATTCGCTAGCCCAATCCCTACCCCCTTGGGGAATTCTAATAAAAAATAATAGTTCCCACTAGAATCATACAAACAAAGCCGTGTCTCAATTTCGCAAGGCTACAACATTTATGTACTTGGACACTTTCTTAGCTGACGTCATAAATATTTATTTCAAGTGCTAATTAAGATTATTATTGCGCCACATTGAGATACGGCTCAAACGTCACAACCGCCTAGAAATCTGTGTGCAATTATTAGGTAAATCGACACGAACAATATTTACGTAACGGTGCATTTGCAAAAATTGGTACTTTTGGTCCAACGCCCAAAAAATCCAATACAGTCGTCAGCACCTTTGACAGTCATTAGATTCTAACCCAACTGCATCCAAGTTGTGAATAAAACGAAATTATACGCGATAGATGTATCGGTTGAAAAAAAAAATGAAAATAAAAATGATTACGTGTAATTGCTTGATAGTCGCGAAAATCCGATGTTGCATTACGTAAAAATGTAACAGACGTTATTATAGAAATATCATCTTTTTCTCTGTCGATCAAACGACTATAAATCACTTTTCGTAATTGCTTAGCACACTACAGGCTAATTGCAAGCCCGCGTGCCGAAAGCGACATTTATACCCATTCGTTAATCTCCAAGCAACCGCAGCAGCGGCTTATGATCCATATGTGTGTTTAATTAACATCTAATAAAAAATAAATAAACATACTTCTCATCCATTTTCAGGATGGTGTCAGTCATGGATAACGTCTTAGCCTCCAGCTTTGTGATCAGTTCTGTTTTATGCTTAAGCGAGCCCTCACACTCCTGAAATCAATCTTTTTTTCAGTACAAAAACGAAAATTCATAACTTCAAACGATAACAAGACATATCGAAGGCAATTTGGATACTCTGATATCGAGTGACGTGAATATTGGAGAATATATTTTTGGATGCGATGCAAGATAAATTATTGTAAAATTCATAAGACTCTGGTTTCCCACTCTAATTTTATATTTATGTGATATTATTGTCATTTATGCAACTACCGTGCAATCGGTATATTGATTTGGTTTTTTAATCACGTCACCGTCACTCCAGTAGATTATAATACTTAAATAGGGATAAAATTTATAAAAACAGTAAAAACGAAAGAGAGCAACCAATCGAGCTTATTGACAATAGAATCGTGATTCCAATTTGGCTTCGTAGTACTGATTTGGCATTAATACCCACGTATCCAAATACTGTAGCGAGAATAATTTATCGAAAAGTTCGATTTGCGAATATAAAATGTTCGCAGATCATCCAAAGCTATCTCAACCAATATACCGTTTCATTCGAGTACCATAAAAATCCAGCTGGTGCGACAATAGCCAAGATAGTTATTCGTGTACTCCGACGTGATAACTCAGAGACAGAAAGAATCGTAGAAGATCCGTTCAGTCAGGACAACCACGAGCATTGAGTAAATACGTATTGTGAATATCAAATATTACAGGAAGTCACGTCCAATATAAAAAAATCAATATTTAATTCTTCCACAAGACGTAACTTCCGGTATTATTGAAAACTACTCTGTACGTACACTCGTAATTAAATGGATAAGTTGGTACACGGTATAAAAGGATCCAAATTAGGAGTTTAATCTTTGATCGTTTCGGGAGAAGATTTATCATCGACCGGCTTATCTAACTTTTCATCAGACTTCGTATCGGGATTTTTCTCCGCTGACTTTTGATCTTTTTTCTGCTCAATGCAGTCGGGTCGAAAGGTCAATGCAGGAATGACTCCCACTGCTGGAGGACCCTTTGGCGATGAGGGACTATATCTAGCAATGCACTTATTGCCACCACTGGGCGTAGTGGGACTGCGAATGCTGTCGCCATCTTTCATCAGGTGGTTGTATTTCTCGAGGTTGTTCAGTATCTTTCCGATTTGATTGGTCTTGGCATGAAGCCGGCTCACCATCTCCCCCTTCTGCGTCAGCTCGTGCTCGCACTCCTATAAGCGAAAACATCCAAAGACAGAGATGCAGAGTTCATGCAAATTGCGTAGACTTTTAGGTCAATGATTCACGAGGGTGTTGGCGGCTTTTTTTGGCTTTTTTTTCTTCCATGCACCGATTGTCCTTCAAAGTGATGGATGAACAGAGAGAGCCTGAGCAAGAGACACATTGGGAAAGAGTGAAAGGCAGGCAGCGAGCTCGAACCGTATGGGATCAACAACGTGTCTGTTGGAAAATAAAATACTCCATCTTTCCTAAAATTTGTAATACAGGTTAACAATGGATTATTGGACAAGACGCCAAGGTTTAGGAAAAACGTATTTTCCTAGGGTCCCTTGATGTTTTTAAAAATAATTTTCACATCTGGAAATTCAATGACCGTGTTCTCGTTATACGCTTAGATGGTACTTCATTGTCAGTACGTGAAATATTTAAAATATTCTGAGTGACCACATGTCATTCGCGTTTAATGTTTTTATATCTTAGTTCAAGTTCCATCCAAACGCGATACGACTGATTGATCATTGCTATCAAGATCTCATCTTAATTCACCTGCAATTTCTTGTACATCTCCAGATTGATCAATTTGATGTCGTCCAGTTGTCTTCTTAGGGATATTATTGTGTCCTGTTTCTCATGGATATCCTTCTCCAGCAACTTCATAGCCACCTCCATCTCTGACTTCATGCTGATCTATTTTGAAAAATAAGTTTTTTAATAATATATCCACGTATCTTTACGTCCTATTGATAATACTTCATGGATGTTAAATTTCTCAGTAAGACATTGACCTGCAGCTTCAATTCTTTCTCGGCATCGTGACGCTGTTTCTTCTCACTTTCCAATCGACTCCTGAGCTCCTCGATTTCCGACGTCGTTTCCGTTATCTTAATTGGCGTTTTTCCATTCTGAAATGCAAAACGATAGATCAGCAATCGCTCGCTGATCTCTTAATATTTCTTACTACCTCGTTGGTATCCTTGACCTCGATACCAAGATCCTTTTTCAGCTGTCTATTCTCCTCGTGCAGAGACAAAATATTGTTTTTCGCAATGGCAAGATCCTCTTTCATAAGTGCATTGGTAGTTGTAAGAGATTCCACTTTGGTCTGCAGATTGGTAACGGTTGCACTGAAATATTTCGACAGCCATTTCAGTACGACAAATCCAAGTTACAAACGATTGTCGTGAAAAATTGTTAAATTACTTCAAGTGACGATTGAGCTCCTCGATATAATTCTTCTGGTCCAGCACAGTCGTCATGTTGTCATTTTCCAACTCGTCATCCGGGGATTCCCCGGGAATGTGATTGCTGTTTCTCAAATATAACGAGAAGTCTATCACACCCTGTTGACAATCCAGATCCTCCTCCTAAGTAGAGAATCAGCATCAGTCACGTTATCAATAATGATAAAAATTCTCACTGAGTTATCACGCATCTTCGGACGGACCTTTACACAAAAATTACAATCGATAACGTTTAGACCCACAAGAAGACCCATGACAACAATGGCTTCGTCGCTCATCATCAATGCGTCCGGTTCAAAATATTCAGATAAAATATCATCCTTGTGATCAATCAGGACCTTCAGGTAATCTGCCAATTTCTTTTGCATCAAGGCCATCCTCAACCAAGCACGCGCCCTGCCCATGGCAGTCCTGAAATCATCCCCATCCATCATAAGCAGAACGTTTGATATTTTGATATGAAGAAATATATTTCAAAAAAAAAAAAAAAAAAAAAAAAAAAACCAAAG